CGAAGAATCTGAAAGAACTGATGATTTGCGTGCCGCGACGGAAAACTCGAGCCATGGATCTGGCCATTACTCCATAATAGATGAGCGCAACTTAATTTGGAGAAGCCGTTGAATATCATGCTCCATGAAGAGGTTCTACAGGCGCGTCTAATCGATGGCGGGCCCCAACTTCCTGCCTTCAGGAGCGTCTGCGAAACAGCATGTATTGTTTTTCGAATAACCAATTATGAGCAGCGGACCATCCCTCTTGTACGTGGCTGCTCAGCCGTAACACTGAGTGGGCCATCCTTCGTTGCATTTCAATCCACGTTTTGCTTCTCGGCGAGTTGGCTGTGAAGATGTCCACTTTTCAAACGCAGCGGAAATCGTGAACAGATGTTCGCCAGGATTCCAGTTATAACCGCTAGTGGCCCGTCATCATTTGCTTTGAGAGTCGATACAGGAGTGCACCCAGAGAAGCGAGCAAAAGGCATCATCATCAAGCTTCTAAGCCTCCGCGATAGGGCGAGTTGTATCTGCTCCTGCGCGAGCTTCTGCCTCCACGCACAGCCTAACTATCAGTCGAAGTTATACAACAGTGAGAAAAGCGAAACGAACTTTTCAACGATTCTGATCTCTTCCAAGAGGTCCTGAGGATCGGCCAAGGTCGAAACGGCAGTAAGATTGTAAGACACGAGGCAGACAGGTACCTCGGATCGCAGCGGTTTTGCTCTCATTTTGCCTGGAATCAGAGAGGCAGTTTCTGCGTATGACGAACTGGACTGAGATGGTGCGCGGAGCCAGATTGGTTCTGGTCCTTTTGATATCGCAAAATCCCGCGTGTAGCCTATCGGTGCATGATCGTACATCCACGGAGCCTTAGCGAGTTCCGCTCTACGCTTCCTGTCCTCCCTCATAGCCGTGGCGTGAACCAAACGGTCTTTGTCTGACATTGTAGTGGACATGTCCATACTGGCGCATGCTATAGGGACACGGAGAGTGACCGTCTCGAATGTTGCGTGGTAGCAATTTCGCCAACTGCCAGGAAGGGGTTTGCTGGGCACCAGCGACTGGCGAGACGGGTGGTCAACGTTCGGAAAAACTGGTGTGCACATATCTTCTTCGATGAATTCTTCCGCGGAAGGACGAGGACGCCCAGATCGCAGAATATGTATCAGAAAGGGTCCATAATCCATATCCTCATCGTCCCAGTCTTCTCCGAACTGAAGATCGTCAATTTCAGCATCTTTGGCCAGTATCATAGCCTGACGCACGTACATTGCCAACATAGCCCACGTAGACTTTGCCAGTCATGTCGCGTGCGGCAGCGGTAGCTTCCTCGTCCTCCAGGAATTCGACGCTCTTGACGGGATCGAGTTTGATTGTCACGTACGTTGTGAGTGCAGGTAAAGGTGGCAGGTCACCTGGATCTTCTTCACTTATTGATGTCATATATTTTGAGTGATGCGCTGAAGCTAGCGAACCGTAGTATGCTTTTGCGTTGTACCAAGCGGCGAGTTTGGCAGAGTTTTGTGATGACCCCCTGAGCGCAAGCGGCAAGAGCAAAGATCTTCAAATGTCGGAGCCAATATTGCGGCGCGCATTTGCGGCATTGACTCCGAAACGTCCGACGGCCCTCCTGCGTAGACTCGACATCACTCTCCAGGCGGAACATCGCGCGAGCACTGATAACGAAGCTGGCCCGATTCAGTGGTGACGATATCATGAACCTTCGATGAAATCGCGCAGAACAAGACTGAAATTATCCCAAGAACGACACGAAGACCGCCAGCACAAGGATGACCCCATGCCTACTCCCCACCCTCGTAAGCACCCGCCTGTTCACTGAAGTTAGGTCTGAATGCTTAGCTATCTAAGGAACAGCTCGATGAACATCGATATCCCGAACCGCATCCCAGAGAAGGAAGCTTAAGCCACACCGAATATCAATAAGGGGTCGAATCTCGAATCCACATCACGGAGGGGACCAACAACACTTCAAGAAGCACCAGCGGGAGCCTCATGCCATTGAGCTGTACGTCAAGCTTGCCTGTGAGCTCATTTCCCTGACTCTATCTCTACATTTATGGTGGCTAGTGCTTGGTCAATGTGCATGATTCCTCATATCTATGTACTGTAGCGCCGCACCATCTATATAACTCATACCCCCAAATGACGTGTCCCCTGAACCTGCCTACTACCTACCTTTATCTAGTCTTTCCATATCATCTGTCTCCATTTTATTCGAACTTATGCTGACCGAACCCTCGCAGACACCGCGCCTGCACGACCGTCTGTAATCCCTTTAAATAGCGAATGACTGCAGGCCGACATTGTCCCCAGCGCGCCGAAGCCTGCGCCAAGTACGCTCACGCTATACCCGTCGCCGCCAAGTATGGTGGCGAGCCCACCAAGCTCTAGTGAGTTGCATCACTTAAATTTCTCTCCCACTCCACTTTGGTTTATCTCCCCTATCTTTCCTTTTGGCTCGCAGATGGCACCTTCCCAGATTTTTAACCGAAACTGCGATGACGTACACCTAAACAAGGCACTCAAAGCCCACTTTCTCGACCCCTGTGCTCCCTGCACTCTGCCACAGTTGATATGGTGCGCCTTACGTCCGAGGAACGGTGCGTTATGCTGCTCAGCGGGAACTTGATGCGACGGGGATCGCTGCCAAGTAAGTCCCTCCTCCCTCCGAAGAACGTATGTTGATGATGGATACTGGTAGGGTGATTCAGCAGCCGAACATGCTCAAGCTCCTATTCTCACTGCGCTCTCCGGCCGGCTTCAAAGGCACGGGAACTAGACACGGGAACTAGCGCCCAAGTTAGCCAGCACAGGGATCTAGTCACGCTGCACGGCGAGTGTCTGGTTCTGATGGAGGGCGGGAGGCGGGGACGATGCTGAGCAAACGCGCGAGAACGCCGATGAAGCTATGCTTGCGCCGAGACGAAGCGGTAGCTGGTCTATGCCCTTAGAGTTGCACATACCCCCGACTCAGCATGTACATGCGCGGGCATCGCAGCCATCTGTGGGGCTCAAGAAGACCGAGATGTTGCCAACGCACGTCTTGTCGAAGGGCGCTCGACGGCCCTTGTCGTCCCCAGCAACTGCGAGGGCAGCAACTTGAAGGAGGCGAGCAAGTGCACGAGCTCACACAGCGCGTAGCGGGCGGGTTGCGCCACTGCTTGGGCCACGGGAGGTGCGATATGCATGAGGTGTTCCACGGTGTTCATGTTATGTCCGCTTTGGTGTCTGGCAGGGAGACAAGGCCGATATGGAATGAGATTGCTATCGGTTCTCCTCGGGTTGGGCGGAGCGGGGTGTGGTTAGGTTGAAATTTGTGGGGGATCAATAGGGCACTTAGCGTCGAGCTCTCACCCTACGCAGCGGCTATCTGCAGAAATAACGCACGGTTTGCCGTCGATTTGATTAAGAACCTGATTGAGACCTGTTAACAAGAATGGCTCACTCACATCGTCTTTACGAAGGGGCGCTTTGATAAATCATTGCATGGGATGAAAATAACAACAACAACAAAAAGCCAAACAAATTTCGTTTGAATATCGATCTCACCAGGGCGGATGTCCAAGCCAGATAAGCAAAAAGACATTCATGGCCATCGTGGGGGTCGAACCCAAGACCTTCGCGTTATTAGCACGACGCTCTAACCAACTGAGCTAGACGGCCGATGCACTCGAGTCCATGAAGCGCTGTATGACGGGTAGCTCTCGAGCTATGCGCTGGCCGCAACAAATGCTGCGGGAAAAGGGTCTCTCTTGCCTAGAATGATCCATTTGTCCCTACCAAAAATGCCGCTGGTAGGTTGATTGTGTGATTAATCTGAGTTCGGACGTTATTGCCTTCGCCAATCTCTTGTGTGGTTTGCCAAAGCGAAGGCGTTCAAAGATGATGCACGATTAAGAATTATATGAGCTGTAAAGTATATGGGTATTGTTTAGGTAAGTCCCCGTGAGGACCTTCGTTGAGTCATCGATCTTGCTATGCGCGAGCTCGGATCCCGGTCCACCCCTTGATGCTGCCCCTTTCCGCGTCTTCAAAAGCAATCTCGCCACCCGTATGCTCATGCCAGCATTGTAAGCCTTCAGCAGGGAGCGGCACAATTCGGCTGAAGCGTATGTAGAAATCCACCATGTGTGCGCGGAGAGCGGCGACGTCCAAAAAGCGTGTGTGGCATGTGTGGCATTTTGGGTGTGTGTGCGAGGGGGCATCGATGTTAGGGGACGACTTTGAGAAGTAGCACGCGCTTTGGGACATGACGTGCTTTGGGAGAGAGGGGCGATGGTGGTGGTGATGGTAGTGTGAGTGAAAGCAAATGGTTGGGTAGTGATTATCCCTTGCCAGAATGCTCTCTTTATATATGTTTTTGGGTGCGGGCCACGAAGGTGGGAAGCGGAGCGTCATGGACAGTCGTCATGACTTTCGGCTCGTCATACACTTTCGGGAGGCTCGTTGATATGGTGTGCCCGATGTGCCCGCTGCCGAAGGCTGTATTGAGCGGTTCTAGACCCCAATAGAGCTGGTTGGACCGGTCTAGACGGATTAATAGCCACTTTGGGGTCATCTGAAGTCACTGGATAGGTCTCCTGAGCGTGGAAAATTTCGGGTGACTACCAATCGGGAAGGTGACATCGTACCGATAGGAGGCACAGGGGGCGGACATTGTCACCAGAAAAGGGGATTGCAAAGGAGCGAAAGAGTCGTAGAGTAACTCAGATACAAGGGTCTCAACGAGATGCGAATGCATGAAAATCATCAGGCTACACAAAAACTTCAACCTGCTTAGCAGAATCTGTTAATGCACCGCCACCTGAACAGATCTTCGCGGCCCCTCAGTAAAGGCTCCAGTTCCCCTGCTGAAACTCGCATCAATAGAATAAAAATGTGAGGTATAAATACTTATGATAGGATGTATAATATCACCAGAGCTCGTCTGTGATTCGAGAACCTGCAAATCAGGATGAGCCTGCATACATTCACGCCAGCGAAAAACAAACTAGCCTCTCTGAGACTTGAACCCAGGTCTTCACGCAAAGCAGTCCAAATACGACGGCGCGAGCTTAACCTGCTACCTCATATTCGGACCAAAATCGCCGTGATGCTTTGTCCCGCTAAGCGAAAAGGCCGGTTGCAGTTCTTGGCAGGTCTATTCTCGCTGCAAACCACATGTCTTTCCACAAATTGCAAATACCAACAATTTGGAGCCCGTTAGTCTGTCACCGTATCACTAAAAACGACACCGGTCTCCCTGAGAGTCGAACCCAGCCCTTCGCGCGAACAGTCCAGATAAAGGTAGGGACTAAATTCCCCCCCTTATCCGGATCAAGATCGCCGCGACGCTCTATACCGCTGAGCTAAAGGACCGGGCTGCTAGGACGATAGGCACGCGCCGATGGTGCTTGAGAAAGAGATATTTGCGAAAGGAGCCCGCTCACACTGCCCAGACCGATTCGGACAATGCTACGGTGATGCTTATTGTGAGAATACACAGCCGCAATCGATCGAAGGTTTGGTGCTGGATGTAGGGAATTTGTGTTGAAGGTTGGAAGACGAAGGTTTAAGAGGTGGAATCAATGTGTTATTGTGCTCAGATAAATGTCCAAGCACCTATCTGGAGGCTTCAGAATTGAAGTATTGTTGACAGTTGACTGAAGTTGATGCGACTGCCCACGGAGCGCCTGGGGTGATCAAGATACAGAAAGTAGAGGCGTGACTACATTGTCGTACTTGAAATGAACATGCGGCAACGTGCTGGATGACCGTTAGTCGAGGCAACAAAGAACAAGGCAGTGCATTGGCAGTGGCAAGGCTTCTGTAGACTGTCAGTTCGGCGGTGACGGCGACGGCGGCACAAGTTGCGAATTGCTCCGTAGGATGGTTTTTCCGGGAAGGAACTCATAGCTTCAAATATAGAGAGGAACCTTCGCATTGTATGCGGAAGTGGTAGCGCGACAGGAAACACATCGAGGTTGCGGACGAAGCGAGTGTGCGCCTAAAAAGGCAGGTTACGCACATTAATATTGTTGTTCGATCACGTGATACCGTAATATTTACGCCAACTGGCCTGTATCGAGCGAAAGGATGAAACAACAATTCAGCGATCTCTTGTATACAATCTCTTGTATCCCTACGTACATGGTTATAAACAAACAGAGCCATCTCCTCTGCAATATGTGGAGGAGATCATGCACATTGCTGATCAGGCAGGCAGCACGGGTCATCGTTTCCAAGATAACATTCGTCAACGCTGACACAGTACTGGAAAGAAAGATTGTCAATAACAGCTCATTCAAAAAGCGGTTTCCGGTTTACCTGCTGCCCGGGTACGAAATTATCGCAGTCACTGTTGAGGTTGTCATTCAGGTATGTGAAGTCGGCCAGCGAGACCTCCCACGTCGCCTCCACAGAGGCGCAGGTGTCGTTAGACAAGGTAGTTACCCAGTGCGTGCAGGGGGCAGTGTAGGCTAGATATGGAGAGATCAGAGCGTAATTCAGAAGGTAGTGGCAAGGACTAACATGACATGCAGAAATAATGGCCAATCAAAGGGGCCAGCGATACACTGCCTGAATTCCGTGAAGTATTATTAGTGCTGTTCGACGCGCTCGATAAGAAGACTGACAGCTCACGCCAGGGTTCAAGGCCTCAATTTGGCTGGGGGTAAGCCCGCTCCATTCGCCTATTGATGCGCAAGTGTCTCCTGCTCTACAATGGCTTTCTCAGCTGCGATCGGTACCCGAGACACAAGATGGCCTACTCGATCATGTATTCCTCTGTCATGCTTCAACTTAGATATATTCATAGGGTTGTGCGGCACTCACCATCGCATTCAGAGTGAGGTCCATCTGCGGCGACCCGCACGACTAAGGCCGCCACGACGCTTGAGACGAGGGCAGTAAAAAATCTCTGAGATACCATGTTGGAATGAGCTGTATGGAGGCTTCCTGAGCCATCTGTATTTAACCGTTTCAATAATACCCTCATCTCTCCCGTCAGCCAATCCCATGACCTCCACAAGATGCCGCAGTACGAGGGGCATGTGCAAGACTGTTAGATACGTAGGACAAAACGGCCCAAGAAGGATATTTTCGGAGGGCGAGACCACGAGAATCGGCCAAGGTTGTTCCGGTGAGACATCCTCGGAGGGCAGCCGCGCTTGCCGCGCGATTCTGCTGCACACGTTCCTAGAAGTTAGAGTGCGCAATCGACGTGTCTTTGTGCCTCGCGCAGAGGGAGTCGACGGCACGCGGCCGAAGGAGTTAGAGAGTGTAATCGGTGTGTCTTTTTATTCAAATGTTGTTTTGAGCTTTCCAAGCTAGGGCCGTGTGCGCGCTTTGAACAAAGTTGACGTGTTGGCCCGTGAAGTGCTTGGGTGATGGGGAAGGCAAAGAATAGCAACGCGCTGCGGCTGCGTTTTTGTGCTTGAAATGAGATGAACACATCGCAGCGTACTCATACCTGTCAGTCGAGGCAACAAAGAGCGAGACAGTGGGCAGTGGAGTGCCAGACAAGCTGTCGATTCGGCGACGACGGCACACGTGGTGAGTGCCCTCCGCAGAATGCTCAGGCGCTGGCAGCTGCAAAGGCTGGACGCCGCAGATAGAATCCTTTGCAAGTGTTTGTACAAGTGGCATCGTGACTAGAGGAGAGAGAACACATTGAGGTTGCAAATGAAGCGAGTGCGTGCCCCAAAAGGCAGGTCGCGCACATCGCCGACCGATCACGTGGCACTACAACATATACACCAACTGGCTCGTTTCGAGCGAAAGAATGAAATTGCGACTCAGTAATCTCACACATACAATCTCTTGTATCACTATATAGACAATTACAGACACCAATACCACGTCCCGGCATTTCGCGGAAGTGATCATGCGCATTGCTGATCAGGCAAGCAGCAAGGGTCATCGTTTCCAAGATAGCATTCATCAATGCTGACACAGTACTGAAAATAAATATTATCAATAATAGCTCATTCAAGAAGCATTGGCTGGTTTACCTGCTGCCCAGGTACAAAATTATCGCAGTTGCTGTCGAGGTTGTCGTTCAGGTTCGTAAAGTCAGCCAGCGAGACCTCCCACGTCGCTTCCACGGAAGCGCACGTATCGTTGGATAGGGTAGTCACCCAATGCGTGCACGAGGGCGTCCAAGCTGCAGGAAGAAGTCAGATAGCGATGCAAAAGGGCGTGGCGGGGACTCACACCACAGGCACAGCCAATGCCCAATCAAAGGGGCCAGCGATTCGCTACCTAAAATCCGTGGTGCATGGTCAGTGCTGTTCGTGCACTCGACTGGAGACGTACAGTTAACTCCAGGGTTCATGGCCTCGATTTGGCTGTAGTTAAGCCCGCTCCATGCGCCTATCGAGGCACAGGAGTCTCCTGCTCTGGATGGCTGTTTCAGCTGTTATCGGTGCGCAAGACACAAGATGGCCTACTCAATCTGCTCCTGCTCTGCCACGCATCGAATTAGACGTATTTATAGGCGTATGTCGTGCGGCACTCACCGGCACACTGAGAGTGCGGCCCGTCTGCGACAACGCGCACAATCAAGGCCGCGACGACGGTTGAGACGAGGGCAGTGAAAACTCGCTGAGAAATCATGTTGGAATGAGATGGGTGGAAGGCTTCCTGAGTCACCCGTATTTAAGCACTTTGCGCTCGTCGGACAGCCTGGCTTGATATCGCTTTCGACGCTCTCGTGGGCCAATCCCATGACCGCCACATGATTCCGCAGCAAGAATTCAGGACATGTGCAGGACGTTGTCAAAGACGTAGGATAATACAGCCTAAGAAGGAGATATTTGGAGGGCGAGAGTACAGAGATCAGCCAGGATTGTTCCGTCGAGACATCATCGGAGCGCGCGTAGCCTCTGCTGCGCAGTCGTACGTGCCTCTATTGCGTAGCCTAGTTTCTCAGGAGCGACAGTGGCGATCGGCGCTCTTCATGCGCTGATCGAGGGGCGGGTGCTGTTTTGAGAATTTGCCATTTGTCATTTGGAGCTCAGGAATTCGAGCAACGGGAAGCCCCAAAAGATATACCATCGCGCAAAATAACTGGCAGTTCAAATTGTCAGTAGCTCTGTTGCTCGCCCGCTTTCCAAATCCCCCATTCGGAGCAAACGCTGCCGCTGCGCTTTAGCAGCTTTACCGTAACGTTAAATGGCTGTCGAATGTTGACAGAGCGAGAATCGCGTGGTGCTGAACGCGTTGAGTGACGTTGACGCGACTTCTGGCGAAGTTCTGGAGCAAAGAAGACAAGGAGCAGAAGCGTGGCCTCGTTTTTGTACTTGGATGCAGCCAGCACACAGCAGTGCACCGTCAGGCAGCAGAAAGTCCACCACCAGCACGCGTTCACGCGCCCTCGCCACCCCGGCAACCCGCCAAAAATTAGCGGCTATTCTGAGAGTCGCACTCAACTTGGCGCACAGGCGGTCCAAGCGGAGGTACAGACCCACGCACGTTCAAAGTCGCGGGGCCCCATTCAGGCCAATGCCGCCGCGCTGCTTAGCCGCTCCGCCAGCCTGCCAAAAAAATAGCAGCCAATCCGAGAGTCAAACTCAACTCGGTGCACATGCGGTTCAAGCGGTGGTACAAACACGCGCTCGTTAAACCTCGCGGGACCCTTCCCAGACCAATGCCGCCGCTCTGCTCTGCTGCTAAGTTAAATGGCCATGCTAGGTCTGCAGGGCTGTTGATAGCATACACAACTGTGTGCGCCAGCCATTCTGGGATCAGCATGATCAGTCTCTCCTAGACCTGCTACAACCGACTCGCACCTCGTCCACACATCCGATTAGCCCAGCACAGTATCGCGGTAGGACCGGTAGCCGCGTTGAAAACACACTGCGCAACAGCGCGGCGACTCCGAGATTCGAACTTGGCTCGGCGCATGGACGGTCCACGCGGAAGTACTCGGCTGAGGCCACGGCGCCCCGTCGGACCTATGCCGCCGCGCTACATACATAGCTGCGCGCGCCAGCCGTTATGGATGTCGGTTTGATATCGTTATCAGAAGCGGCAGACGCTGAGTTATATTTCGCAGCCACATTCGCGGCGGCGCGGTGCATAGTTGGCGGCACTTATCATGAGACTCGCGGCGGAAAGCCTTCGCGCAGAGGGAGTCGACGGCACGCCGCCGCGGGCGTTGGAGGGCACATCGGCGCGGATTTGCGCCCAGATAGAAGTAAGTACCGATGCTGTTTTGAGACTTCGGAACCTGGGTATTGCGTGAGCGTGTTGACCGAAGTTGACGCGACTACTGGCGAGGCGCCTAGAGTAAAGAAGACACGTAACAGAAGCGTGACTGTGCGTTTGTGCTTGAAATGTGGTCAACACGCAAAAGATTAGCGGCCACTTTGAGACTC